AAAATATCTGTGCTTAGGAGAAATGCCGACAGAGCTGCAGCATCCCAAAAGCATTTAAGACCCCAGTGTGTACCCCAGAACAGTGGTCCAGTAAGTGTGCTGCAGCAGACCTCTATCAATCAGCACAAATGCACAAGTCCAGATATAGCCATGATTCATTCAAGTGAGATGGTGATACTGGCTCCTATAACCCATGATGTCCCCACCCTTATAGACAAGGCCATGTACTTTGGCCCCTAATAGGAACTTAATGTACTTACTAAACAAAAATAAATCTCTTCTCAGCACTCTTAATGTTTGGTATAAGCTATTTGCATCACAATAGTATGGGTAGCAATAACATTGAGAAATCAGCACTTCTTTTAATAGCTAAGTCATTGCCCTTTCACCAATCAATAATTCCAGATCTTTTCTAAGGGAATGTTTTCCCCAGAGTTCTCAAGGCAATCTTACATGGGGACACCTTATGTGATCTTAGGAAGCAAAGACTGTGAGTTGATTGAAGACTTCCATAAAAAATTCGTTTTTGAGTACCTATGTAGAGGGTTAAAGCAACCACTATTGGTTCCAAGTTGTCATGTCAGTGAATAGTGGTACAATACCAAAATGTTTTCTTCCTTCCCATTGTAGGTATGAAAGAGGTAGTTGACAGTTGAAGTGGTTGCTGCTTCACTGTTTATTGAATGTGACCTGACCACCACACTTTTCTTTCCACCTTGCACCAAGGACAGCTGAAAGTATGTGTAGATCCTCATGAACCCTGGTGATTTACCACTCCGCATGTAACAAATCTGGCACCAATTTCAATGTGTCTTAATATGCAAAGCTGCAGATCGTGCTGGCTCAGAAGCAGCTTCAGCCCGCTGTGAGGCTCCAGCCTTTCAAAAAGGGCTGGGCAGATAGATAGGTGGAGGTAGCAACTGCCTGGCCTATCTGTTTTAAATCACCGATGAGTCTTGGTCCTGTTTGTTCCTCTCTGAACTGTACAAATGTCTTCACACAGTTAATCCCAGGGAGCCTGAAGCCCATGGCAAAGCCTGAGCTTTGGAATCTCTCTGTCATACAGTATAGCTGGCTCTCAATAGGAGTTGCAAACCCAACCTAGTGGCACTGTGAATGTGCAGAAATTTGCAATCGCTTAGTTTTTTTCAAGTGACAGTGAGATATCCCTTATACCTATTCAAATAATAGAGAGAAGCAACTGTTTCAAAGAAATGGCTTATAATTAAGGTAAGCATTTAATGTTGCAGTGACTCTGTGAGTCACTCCTGTACTTGGGATCCTCCTAATAGCTGCTTCACAGGTGCAAATAAGGGAATTCCAAAGGAAGTCAATGTTTGGGTCTTGTTTTGTTTAGAACTAACTGGTTTCCAAAACCCTGCCTTTATTTTAGTATGAGTCTGTGGAAAGAATTTTCCATTTGTTTTGAATCATTTTCAGTTCTGTGGAAAAGACCTGCACAAGTATTTGGGACTTTTGATTATGAAAGATACTTTTATTGAATGTTATGATTGTGACTTCAGAGTCAAAGACCACTGCAAAATATCTAGTGTTATTTCCTTCGGGAGTGGGCTTTCCCCATAAAGGAGCACTTGATATTTCTAGGTCTTAGTTCAACTTTTTAGTCTTACGATAGAAGTGCAAGGTAACTGAATTATAGATGCTCTATAAGAAAATTTACTCTCCTTGTATTTTAGCTCTCCATGGAAGATTTTTTTCTTTTAGGCAGCAACAGAAATACAGACTAGCTAAATGGATTGGAAACTAGCATGGGGTTTGCAACACTTTTGTAGAGCTCTCTGTCCTGTCTTACAGAAGGTCACCAATTTCACTGTGCCTCAATTCCCTTATTATTAAAGAACTTAATATTACTGACCTGCCACAGGCTTGATACAGCAGGAATAAATATTTTCAGGGGCTCAGATGCTGCAGCAGATGAGGCTATACAAGTTACTTAGGCATAATTTAGCTCACCTGGTGTATCAAAGTCTAATTCTCTAATACCTATAACATACTTCCACGATCCATGGAGGAAAGGCATGAGTGATATCACATTGCATGGAAGAAAGCAACAATAATTTACATTCTTGTACCTTATGCATTTCATTTTCATTGAGAACCTTGAGTACTTTTCCTGCCTGGTTTAAGAAAGTTTACAATTGGAATATTGCACTGCTGTGCAAAATGCCCTAATCACTGTGTTAACGAAAATTTAAGTTTGGGGAGTCTGTAGATGTTTTTTTAAGTGTCTTGTGCCAACAGAGCAGGGGCCAGAATTCAGACCATAAACCTTAACCCAAGAGTTTTATTTTTCCAAGATAACAGAACCCCAAAGTAGGCATAATGAAAGAAAGGACCTCCTTAATCTGAGTTTATGTGCAATGAACCAATGAAGTGAAGTGCAAAAGCAGAGAGGTGTGCTATTTGTTTTAACTGATGCAATGATGTAGGAAGAGGCTTTTCCTCTCACACTTGCCTTTTGTCTGGAGACTCTAATTCTGAATACTCCTTGCCAACATGAAACACTGGATGTTAAAGTTCTTCTCAAGCAGTACCTTTTTGCTCATAAATAACCATGTTCAGGGAGGGCCACCGTTTGAAGTCTCAGGTAATAAAGTAACCAGAATGAAGCGCTCAGTCCCAGTAAAGGCTTAAAACAAGAACCATTGTTTTAATCAATGTAAAACATTGTAAGTCAGTTGACATTGTTATTCCAGCCTATATTGGACAAAGATCTAGCCAAAAAAGGTGATAAGGCTTTCTCCAGCCTCTGAGTTTAAACAGGACAATTTTGCACATTTCCTTTGAAGCAAGCTTTTACAAATACTTCCCTATGAATATGCTCAGTATATATTCCCATGCCAGCCATCTCAGGCCCATTCGGAGCCCTAGTTATGACAGAGGAATAGCTGTATGCCACAGGTCTGAGTGCCTCCCAGCAGGTTTTTCAATATTTCAGTGAAAGGTTCAAACCATGGCTTCTATGACGGTATGTAACGAAACATCAAATGAACTTGGTCTTTGCTGTAGCAACAGACCCTTAGCATTTACAGCAGTTCTCTAATCTCCAGAGCTATTCCCGCTCCTCAGGATTGCCTGTCCTTATGCTTAGGACACGCACTTTCAGGGCTGTCCTCTAAGTGCGTGATCGACAGCAGGTCTCTGCACCTTGTGCCAAGCACTCACACAGCTGTTTTGCAATTCTCTTAATGGCAAAGCTTTGTACCTGCCTACAGATAGAAACAAGGGAAGAAACTTTTTTCAGCATACTTGTTTGATCAGAGTGCTCATTGCAAACAGACAATGTGTTGCAGAGGCATCTTTTTCAGATAGGGAGAGAAAAGGAGGTTGATTTTTCTGGCTGCTGCTCTCAGAGATTCCTGAGAATGTGAATTACAAAGAAGATCAAACATTTTGCATTCACTAAATGATTTAAAATACAAACAAAAATGAAAAAACAGAGATATTGAGGGTCTGAATCTGAATATGAGTGGGAGCAGATAATAGGATGTAGCTGTCTTGCAGCAGAAATTTTGCTTTCCAGTCAGGGAACATGTTTTGCGCATGGTAGCTTTGTGATTTGTGTGGATCTCAGGGAAACTGGCCAGATCAGAGTAGCATGTGCCACACAATCCTCTTATGTCGTTTCTTTATTTATTATGAATTAAAGAAGCAGGCTAATGAAGTTTCATGCCCTGAGAAATACAGTAATTCACCTTTAATCCTCATTTTTTAAAATGTTCTTCACCACTGCTGGCCATAGGTCAGCCAGTTAAACTAAACCTGGGAGAGCAGACGGCCCTGTAAGAATATAAATCTAAAACCAAGAGCAGGATGGGTATGAAAAATAAACCTAAGCATGAGCCAGTGAACAGCACATACACTTTATCTTTGTGGTTCAGAAAAGGATTTCCTACTGGGAAGTGCAGTGCAAATGGAGATGATTTTGACATTATGTGTTCCTCTGAACCTACAATGAGACAGGAAGGAGGCACATCTTGGATGTTAAGAAGTTAGGCTTTAAGAGAAAATAGTGTACTCATCTGCCTGTACCAAAGGTTTTTAGTGAATTGGAGAGCAAAAGCAAAGAGGAAACAAGTCTGGAAAATACATAAGATGTTTCATTATTTGTTAAAAAAAGCCCAAACATTTCTTGTGTAGCGTGCAGGAATGATCAATTAGTTTAGAAGAGTTTGTCTATCCCTATTTCGGGGGTCATTCATCCTGAAGAAATACAGTGTAAAGTACCCACAGGATTCAAAGATTTGAGATCTAATTATTGAATAAAGCTTCATACCAGCTACAAGGGTCAGAACTAGTCTTGAAGGCCTGCACAATTAGTCCCTGGTGGTTTTTCTTCCTTCACCAGCCAGAGAGTCTGGAGCTACTGCCCATGCCTGGAACATTAGACTCTCTGACATTTAAGGACAGCAAAGTCTTTCATCAGCTAAACTGGCAAGAGCAGAATATATAGTATGGTTGAAAAGTACTGAACTTCGTGTTGTTCTGCTAGTCTCTACAAACAGTCACTGTAGGCAGGTCACCTCTTTTAACCTTGGGAAGGCTATATTCTTGCAACACAGCTTTCTCTTGGCCATGAGAGGAGTGTGAAAAAATATCTTTAAGAATTAGCTAGTGAATAGCACATCTTGCATCTTTGTGCTCTAGGGAAAAAACTTTGTAATGGAAGCAGGGTTACATATAGGGTGGATTTTGATTCTGCTATGTTCCTCTATACATCAACAACGGAAGAAGATGAATAATGCACAAACATCAGCAGCTTTATATAAGTGTCACCCAGGCTTAAATAACAAATTGAACTAATTTGTATATGCTCAGGTTTTGTAGTAAGTTAGACAGAAAGTAACTCTGGGCAAAACTACCCACAAGAACATTAAGGAACAGTGTTTACACAGCAAGGGGCCCTCTCTGAGCAACAATTCCTGTTAGAGGCTTCAGAGCTCCCACACCTCAGCACAGGGAGAAAAAGAGCTGCTTACCTGCTGGTTATACATTGGCAAAAACCCCCAGAACATGTCTTGAGTTTCTGTGAATCTAGTCCTCATTGGCCACAGCCACACAGGCAAGGACAGCATTTCCATTCCCAGAAGAATCCCTGTTGTCAGCTTTTCTCTTGCATATGGCATATGGCTTCCCAGGGACACTTTGCTACACAGCCTTTCCATGCAAAACATGTCTTTTATAAACAACTTCTCTTCTGCAAGATGTCTAATTATGGCTCTCTAAACCAAAACCAAAACCACCAAACCCTTGCAAAATGCTGAATTAATGTAAATATTGCACTTCACTCCACTCCTGGCATTACTTTGCCTCCTTATGTATTTCTGTTGAAGTTCCTTCACTGAAATCTTAGTTAATGCACCAAATCATAGTTACACTGAGTCCCTCCTGCTGTTGCCAGCCTGAATGATTTAGTAGTATTAATGGTTTAGGGCAGTATCTCTTACCACTTAAGGATCTTAGCTGTAACTCAGGTAAACGTTAAACTCTTTTCAATTTACTGTGACACTGCTCAATAGCACCTTCCCAGATGAAAGCATGTGAAGTAGAACATCTGTTCATTGCCCAATGAAAGCTAATTGTCAGCCTACAGCATATTGCTACCTTGTCAGCTGGCCAGTTAGCACTACTCCAAAGCTCAAGTACTTTCAGATGCTAAAAGTTTTAATCCCTTGGCTGTTCAGCCATAATAATGTGCAAATACTATTCTGCTGTTACTGGTTCCTATGTTTTAAACCAGCACAGATTATGTGAACATATTTGTGTAAGTGAAAAGGTGACTCTATTTCTCATTATATTACTTGATATTTATTGATTAAATATTGCTTTTGGTAGGTATTATCTTTGTGCTTGTGCTGTACAGAGTGCAAGATGCATAGCTAATGCTTAGGAAGTAGCAAAGGGGGCGTCTGTGGTATGTGTTCCAAGGACTCAGGACCCAATTAATAATTTCTCTTGAGGTTTCCTGTACTTGTGCCATTTATGTTGGATAGGCTACCCCCTTATGTTTCTGGTATGGCAGGCATAAGTACCTGATAAGTACCTTGTTCTGAAACACTGAAGTTCCCGTATTGTTCTATGCAATGTGTGATACCATATTTACCATGGCTAAACAGTGTTTGGGACAACTGGGGTACATATAGTTGTTATCTTTCTGCTTATATTTCTTCTGCCTCACTTGCTAGGCATGTGTGTGGCTAGCTGGAGTACTGCCTGAGTTTCTGTATCAATGGATCTTGGTACAGCTAGCTGCTGTCATGCTTCTTGGCTGTGTCTCTCATCTTTCCAGTTCCCTTGACCTGACTGAACCTGTGATCTAGAAGCTATTGGGTTTGTCCTTTAATTTTACTTAGTCAGCAAAAGCATGATGACTATGCTATATTTGAAGTAAGTTAAGTGAAACTTCTCATTTCCTGTGAGAAGGGAGAGGAGGACAAGAGGCAATGGGTACAAACTGAAATACAAGACATTTTGTCTAAAGGCTCTTTTACTGTGAGGGTGGTCAAACAGTGGAAGAGTTTGTCCAGAGAGGCTGTGGTGCCTCCATCCTTGGAGATACTCAAACCCCAGCTGGATGTAGTCCTGAGCTACCTGCTGTAGGTGACCCTGCACGAGCAGAGTGACTGGACTGCCAGCCTCAGCTCATCTCCAGTGCTGTGACACTCTCATAACAACTTGAGCCATGCCGAATTAAGATGCTCAAGCCCAACATCTGGCTTGACAAGATTATTCAGGAATTATTTCATAGTGAATGAGAAAGAAACTTGCTAAACACTGGGGTACGCTGGGGCCCAGAAAAAGCACGGGGGATTCTTTATGCCTGCAGTGTCATTGCTCCCAATCCTTCTTCCAGTTTTAGGCTGCATGTTCCTTTGACCCCTCTTTGGCACAGCCTCCAGGTCCGCCTCGTGCAGACAGTCCCCACACTGCTGATGCCTACCCCTCTTCTTTTGCCTTTAGGCCTGTTTTATCTTTTCATTTTTCTTCTTCTCCTTCCATACCCCCTTTCTTCCACCCCCCCTCCCAAAAAAAAAGAAAAAAAGAAAAAAAACATATGGCAAAGCACCCACTGCTTTCCCAATGGCCTTCAAGGAGTAATTGCAGCCCAAGGGCATAGGTTCATTTAAAAACTGTTATGCTGCTCAAAATTTTTTTGAAAATTGGAAACAGCCACCCTGGAAACAGGGTCTCATAAAGCAAATGTTTTCTGGGCTTGCCAGTATGGAGGGAAACATGTGACTTATCCAAAAAGGATACTGTTAAATTGCTGCCTGAGTAACCAGACTAGGAGACTTGCTACAAATTCTCTACTTGTCTTATATTATTAGCTGCATTAAATGACTGGGATAGCCTCAGTGCATACAGCTTTGCTGATTTTGATATGTTTATTAGAGTTAATTTTTTTTTTAAGATGGTTCTTTCCTTGTAACTAAATCTGGAGGATAAAACTAAGCATCAGTGAATTCAGTGGCAGAATTCCCACAAACTTAATTGGGATCAGGATTCTTCACATGCCTGAAATACTTTCAACTTTAAAAGCCTTTTCTAATAGTGTATTGCTTGGAAAAGACTTAGATGTTCATGAGGAATGTGGATTTTCATAAAGTGTGATGCATGTTTTAGTTACCAGGAGCAAACGGCTGAAAACTTTGAAATCTGTGCACAAATCCAGTTTTATTTTAGTTACCTGCTTCAGTAGCTATACAGAATACTTTGGAAACTGGACATTAGCTGAATTAAGTATGATTAGTCTTATTAAAACCCTAAATCTCTGCCCAATCAGTTTTGAAAATCATTGTGCATGAAGCATTTCGCTGCTTCTATTTAAAACAAGATCTGACAAATGAAATTGTAAAAAACAAAAAGTAAAAAATGCACAAAACTATCAAAATGGCCTAGAGCATTAAAACCTAAAAGACTTAATTAAAAAAAAAAAAAAAAAAAAAAGCTGCTGTTAGTTGTATCTAGTGTACTACCATAGGTACAAGTGACTGGAAGCTTAGAAGTCTATATAGTTATTAATTACATTGAGAGCATACATACATGTAGGCCTATTAAGTAGTGTCAGATGATGTTTAAAAACCCTATTTCTGATATTCTCAGAAGTGGAATTAAAAGGAGGCTAGAATCAGAAAACAAATTACTTAATTCTGACAAGAGCCTAAGAAAAGGCATCTAACCTCTGAAGTAGTTTGTGCCACTAGTTAGCTTAGTGTCCCATGATCTGCATTTGCTCGGGGGAACTGTGGGTGGCCTGGAAGCTGCCCTAGTGTACTCCTATGTACAAGGTATAGAAATATAGCTGGCTGTCGGCCTTAGCCATGCGTCTTCTGTCCCTGGTTAGACATTCAGCAGGTCTTATGCAAACGTGTGCTGGTGCTTCTCAGTTGTTCTCCTGCGGCACTGCTGTCGCCTAAAAGGAAAGAGGAGAGGTTGCCGTTTTAAGCAAAGAGACAGTCACCGCCTACTTCATGTTTCAGCATGGGCCTTTATTCCCAGAGTAGCTAAGCACGTTAAAATACTTAGGTCATTTATTTTCAGTACTCCTTGCCACAGTTTTATAGAGGGCACTGTGCACCTGACAAAATCACCCTGTCCATTGGCTCTGTCTGAATATGAGCAAGCCCATGGCAGAAAGGACAGCTGAGGAGTGTTTCCTCCTTCAGGCTATCTTCTCTCCTCGATACTCTGCTCTACTTCATTTTGACAGAAAGTGCTTGAAAGTCCAGCTTGGAAGACAGGCTGCAAAGAGAAACTGCCTCCCCCAGCAAAATTCCTGGCAGCAGGAACTGATGTGCTGTGACACCCAAGACAAAATCAGTTTTCCCTCAGTGAACACTCACGATGCTATTCTCATGGTTTGTACCTGAACTGTGTAAACAGTTATTTCCATGGGCAAGTCCTTGGACATACTACATACTATTTTAATTTTTAGGGCTATATAACTTGCTACGTATTTACTGGAGAGTTAGTTAATTAAGACTTCATCATAGTCAGAAGCCACTAGGGATTTACCTGTGTCTTTTACCTGCAGAAAAATTTAAGACAAAGAGGAAGCACTGAATATGCTTTAGCTAGGCAGATCTTCTCACTCATAAAAGATACACAAGTGTACTTCACATTTTTACATATACACGTGTTTACATAGATACTTCGCTGTCTCGGTCATTTTAACTTATAGCTCTCTGTCTTCTGACATCCTTTTGAAATCTGGTAAGCAGAAGAAAGTTTGATTTTTCCAGTCAGCTTTCCAGAAACCCTCACTGAGACCAGAAGGTTTTTATAGTGTGAAGTCATTTCAGGCAGCTGGATAGCCCAAACTCGCTACCACTTTCCCCCTTACTGGAATTCAATTTACAGGAATTCATGAAAGAGACCCAATAACTAAGATTTACCTCTCTCCTGTAAGCCAGATCCAGTTTCCCACAAAAGGTACAAACACTACCAGATAGTTATAGATCAAGAGTAGGAAAATAGTCCAAGTCAAAACATCTAGTCTTGCTTGTTATCTTACATACTTCATAACTTTAAAACAAAAAGAAAGCAAGCAAACACTGAATTCTTGCACAAATTTTGTTCAACATTTTTCCATGTTAATTCCCCTTTAAAATCTCAATTATAAATTTGAGTTTACTTTCTCAAGGACCTTTCAAACTCGGGAAGGTCAAAGTTTGTGTTTCAGCTGTTTGGTAAAGTTGTAATCAGGTAATGTGACAAGCTTCAAAGAAATAATTTACATGGTTTTTGTTGATTATATAAAATTTTAACTGGATCTTACTAAGGCCTTACTCCGGGAAACTCCTGAGCACTGAACTTCTGGCTTCAGTGAAAGGTGAAAGTGTCCTGTATCTAACAAAACCAAAGTCTTTGAACCTCTGTGACTGAACATCAAGAATCTGTCTTTTCTCCCTGTGTAAGTAGTTATGTTCCCCAATGTATGGAAGAGCACTAAAAGGAACCCTACTAAACTCTCCCAGATGTCCTAGCTTGGTCCCCCAAAGGTGATCTTAAGATTTCTTTTCTATACAAACAAAATCTCATGCCATTGCTCAAGAATGCATGCAACAGCCAACCAGCCTACTCACTCTCAGAGCAAGTCTTTCTGTGCTGAAGTTTTGATTTTAAAGAATTAAATTTATTAAAGAATTCTTTACAGTAAGCTACAAGCTTTAAAACAACTGACTTGAAATGTGATGCTTTTTGGCAGAACAGTTTAGGCAGGAAATGTTACACATGACTTAAGCTGGCCAAAACAATGTGGCTGCTTCACAGTTTTCCATTGGCTAGGTTGCATTGACCACCATTTGCTGCCTGACAACGCCTAGCTAGCAGCAAAACTCTCATTAATCCTCCTCTCTCCTCAGAGCTGATCCCCTGCTGACGAAGGGGAGGCAAGCTGCAAAGCAGGGAACTCCACCCGAGGGAAGTGCAAACCGACAAATCAAGTACAGAAAGGTGGGGCTGCTGGACCTCCTGCCTGTCCCGGGGCAGCGGTGCTCCGCCAGGCCTGGGCCAAGGGCAGCCCCCCGCCCCTCTCCCCGTCCCCGTCCCCATCCCCGCAGGGGCTCAGAGCCCAGGGCTGGGCAGGGAGCGTGTTATCTCCTACTTACGCAGAGAGTCCTTTCTCCAAACTGGCTGTAGAAGGTCATCTTGACCTTGTGCTTGTGCCCAGTCCTCTGGTCAAAGGTGTTACAGCTGTCAAAGGGCGGGCTGTACAAATGCAGGCTGACGGCGGACTCTGTGTGGCTGATGTTCTCCACACGGTGCAGGCCAATGGAGTCTACACCAGCGAGGGCATGAAACGAGACGTCGTGTTAGCGGGAACATTAACGAGGTCTCAGATCCGTGGAAAAATGCTTTCTAAACCAAAGCTCATGAGCAAGCCAGTTACGCATGCCTGCACTTTTACGGGCAACGAGTAACTCAGTACAGGGATTTTGACTGCTGTTCTCTAGCACAGATTCCTAAACACACTGGTAATTCAAAATACATTATTGCCTTCTGCACTTCTTGTAACTTTTGAGGTATCTGCGACAGGATAAAGGCCATGGAAAAAAAAAAACCAAACAGCTTAAGGAAGGCCATCTGTCAGTAATTTTCTAGGTGTCACTCCCAAAGGACTTCAAGGTTATTTACTTTCCTAGGAGATGATGCTGTTATAGAAGCTCCAGAAGCAGGAAGGTTTGTGTTTCTAAAAATTAGCAAGACATTTTACAGGGAAAAGTTTTTTGTATTGCTAACTCTTAGCCTGATAACAAGGATATCAGCCATATTAAAAGCCAGCTACGTGTTTGTGGGGCATGGACTTATGGACTGCAGGCATCTGTTGTTTAATTAATCCTTCCACTTTATTAGTTTGGAGAACAGGCTTCCCATTTGTCTGCTCTTTTGACTAAGGTGACAAATTAGTAGTGACTGGCATACTTCCAACCGTAACTGAATAATAAGCATAATTGAACACATAATAAAACAAAGCACCATCTGTTGTGTGGCTACTAGTGAAGTTAATGGCACTTTCCACAACGGTGGAGTAGAAATAAAGCTATTACATAAAAACGTAAGGTGTGAAGAACCACATCCACAAAACAAACCATTTCCATTCTACACTAAAGAATTTGAGTTACTTAAAAGAGACCTTGAATTTAAATTTATGACCCTGCTTGTAAAAACAACTCAGGCCTTTGTACTTGAATTAATATGTTATATAATACCTAGACCCGTATTGTGCAATGAGAATCATGAGTACACTCTTAACTCGATTTGAAGTGTAAACTTGAAGTCATTAACATAGTTTATCTAAATAGGGGACGTAGGGGAAAAAAGTCCTAAAGCTGTGTTCATCTGATGGGAGGCTCGAATAAACACTGTTTAGTGGGTTCTAACCTTAAAAATAAAGTACAAGAGCAACCAAGAAGCATGCAATAGAAATATGAAGGTCACTCACTGTTGAAATAGTTAGGGCAATCAACACACTGTCAGTGTTTTCCTTCTACTTGTTTTACCTGTTTCTTTTAAATGAAAACATCTGTTATGAAACATGGCAGAGATCCAAACTGCCTCAGAGAACTAGATACCAAATTTGTTTAAAACAACCAAGGAAGCTTTGGATGAAATGCACACAGGGTGCAATTGCTTGCATTGGAAAACACCACATAGGTAGGAAATACCTGAGAACCCACGTCCCTGGCACAGGAGCACCAGCAGACACGTCAAGCTCCTTCTTGCATTCCCTGTCCTATGGATTTTGTGTTTTCATTTAATGTAGCATACCTTCAACAGAGGGCTGCAGAGCACTAGTCTTTCTTCCCCAATGCTCTCACTCTGGCTTAGTCCATAACCCAATACGAGGCTCCCTGCAGCTGGGGAGTTCCCAAGCTCAGCCCTACAAGGTGTGTTCTCCAGTTTTTAACTCATCACATAAAAGGCAGACAGCCCCCTTCTCTGACACTTTGCCGTTGTTCTGCTGAACTCATTGCTGTTCAGCATGATGTGCAATGTCTTTCATAGCATCAGCATACGTTACAGCCAGCTGGCCGCTCCAGGATGGCCTTCCAGCACAGCACAGGGTGGTGATAGTTACAGATACATGTAAGGGCATGGATTTTGGTACCAAGGGAGCCTTACTAGTGGAGACTCAGTAATCTCTCAGCATCTGTGAAGTCAGGCAATTTTTTTGTAGATTGGGTAGACTCAAGCATTTCAATTCTGCTGATGCTGTGCTTCAGCTTTACAGTCTTCTGTTGATTTGGACCAGAAGTAGCACTGAGGACTGAGGCCTGTGTTCCTGACTGGTCAATATATTCCACAGACAGCTTTTACATTTTTGACCTAGGATTTCAAAGACTGATGGAAAGGACTGTTTCTTTGAAAAAAATCAAGGTGATTAAGCTATCTAAACTTTGGTTCCCTTATTTTTCACAGAATACTATTCAAGGTCTATGTTTACAAGCGATTTCAGATAGTCATTAGGGACACAGTGCTGAAGGGTGCTTGGTCTAGAAGACATACCTGGCATATTTAAGCATCAAGCAATTGCTGCAATGTCTTAAGAGTGAGTTAAAAGGACATTTTTTTGTTGTTTGTTTTACTGAATCTAAATACAGGTTTGTGCAGAATCTAGAGCGCCACTTTCTCAAACTGAGCATAAAGCCATTAGTATTGTACCGTTAAAGGTAGGAGACTAGAGAGCAGTTGAACTCTTCCATTAGGAGTAAGACTCATGGATGGGTAGCTGCGAAAACAAACTTAATAGCTTACCATTAATGTAGGCACATTGATTTTCCCTCAAAACTCGTTCTGATTTCTTAGTCATTTCACCATTCCCTTTTTTCTCAGGCCATTCAAACAGAGTCTCCTTTAGATTTCCCTGGAGGATCTTCATGAAGCAATGTGAGTCAGTGTGATCATGGATGCTGCTATATAAGTAAAACAAATAACCAAACTCAGTGTGATATACATACTTAATTTCAGTACAGCAAACAGGACAGATGGCATAGCATATTGTATCTGGACATAGCCCTAGAATGAAACGCCATTGCACATGGGTCATGCACAAAAGTCTTAGGAAAAAAAACATTCACAGTAACTAAGGTATGCCTACTTAAAACTGCTACTTTAGAAATGTATTGAGATGAGCTCACATACAGCAGGACTTGGAGAAGTGTCAGATATCGATCAGCTTATGACTTTGCCACAGAGAAATACAAAGGAAGTCTGGAGGAGGGAGGAGGACAGAACAAAAACTCTTGTGGGCCAAGAAACGAAACAACGCTTTCCACAGTGATCCCAGGCAGAGGCTGGTATAAACTTGCATATATACCTGATGTTTGCAGATCCACCATGCTTGCTCCCAAAATGTGGGAGAAATGAGCTACTTCTGCTTAATTTCTATGGTCTCTTTACTGCTGGGGTGCACATGCATTTGTTGAAGAAAGAATGCTGTACTTCTCACTCTGATAGTACTAAGTACAACCAGCTACAGTAAGCTGTTAATTTCACTACTTTGGCAAAACCTGAACAAAACAGCAGGATCTGGTATGATTTGTCTGGTTGCTTGATCTGTCTCCTTGCTCCAATCTGTTTTAATTGCTACATTTGGAGACATATGGGCTAGGTACAGAGTTTAGTTTTGGTTTTATTTTTTTTAAAAAGAGGACTAACTGTTACTGAAGTCAATGGGATTAGGACAAAGGGAGACCTCTCCACAAATTGAGGGAGAGGGAGAAGGGGGAATTTGACCCTCCCAGAAGTACAGTGCTAATGAGTTTCAATCAAAAACTTGGTACTTGTACATTACTGTTTTCAGTAAACAAATGTCAGGATTTCTTACAAACTGAGATGCCAAGAGAGCAGAACTTGCTTCAGGCACAGAACAGTTCACAAATGCCACGTTGTCACACTCCTTCCACAAGCCATAAGAACAATCTGATCCTCCTCATGTAGGAGGCAAAAAACAACTTGTGGTCTCAGACTAGCTCTAGCAAATGCTTATCCAACTAAAACACAGTTTGACATAAATTACAGGCTTTGTGGGAACAGCCCGGAAGGAGTAGAGGTGGTGGGCTTGGTTCCTATATCCCTTTGAGTATAACGTCATGGCATCCCCTAGAGAATACTGTAAATGTTCAATTGCACGCTCAATTAAAACAAACAAAAAACTAGTCCAACATCTCCTTAGGTTTTCTATTTATATGCAAAAATAATCAGTCAAAACCTGCAAATTTTGTTATTCCATGTTTTGTTTTAGCCAACATTTTGTGAAAGACCCTCCAAGGGACAGATCCTGCCCTCACGTTTGAAGAACTACACAACCCAGTGTACAGTCTATGTATAAAACTCAGGAGGCCACATCAGCAATGTGGTCCCTTTTGAGGGAGGAGATGAAATGCGTGAACCTAAAGAAAGCCAATTACTCCTGGAAAGGGGCTCCCTCCTCAGAGCCTTCAGTCCCAATCCAAACCTCCTTTTCTCATCTTGTCACAGAGGCGGGATTTAAACACCATGAGAGAACAAAGAGTATTTAAACTGCACCAAGTCCTGCTTCTGCAACCAATTCTGAGACAGTTGGGTCTGTGGTATGGGACATGCCGGACAGGTCAACCCGTCCTGCCCACAGGACCTGCTGTATCCCTGGGAATAAAAACTTCCTCTGGCAGAAGGGAAGCTTAGATTTGGTAGAAAACCAGAGCATTTTTAAAAGAGTGCTCTAAAAACGTGCATGAGGTACAAACTTGCAAAAGTTTTCAGGACTGCTATACCAATAGGATCTCTGCACTGCTTAGTTTCCAGACAATTTCTGACAGCTCATATAGGGCTGATTATTATTCTCTTTCTGTATGACAGTGAAACACACAGTGGCTTTATATCTGTTTGCTAAAACCACAGACTTTGGATACAAACCTGCCGTGCCCTTCACCCCAGCACAAGATCATCAAGTTGAACTTTCCATTTCCATTGTCCACAAGATTTCTTGTATACCTGAAATGCAAAGTGTTTGCTTTTTACTGTACTGATATGCCTATAAAATACAAAATTATACAAACATGTTTATGAAGGAAGGTTGTGGCCTATAAAGATCCTTATTACTCTTTTTCTTGAAAGCCAAGTTTTACTTGGAAAAAAGTGAAACTGTATTTTTAAGCTTCTTTTTGTAAAAGTTCTTTTCTGGGAAGAAAAAAAGTGGACATATTTAATACTTTATAATCATATTTCTTTTGAGTTACATAGATGATTGGCATTTGGGGGAACTGTGAGTCTGAGGCTAGAGTGGTAGACAGGATCAAATCAAAATAGTTATCGAATGAAGTCACTTCAGCAGCTGGCTTATAATTAGAAACAGAGGACTGCAATGAAACAAGAAAAATACATGGTTACATTCTTCTACAGATCCTTTTCAGATACTCTTGGCTTTCCTTCTGTTATGCAGCACTCATTTGTACAAAGCCAAAAAACCAAACAAATAAGATGTCAGGCTTTCTGTACATGGTCCTCCTACTCTGTTGCTGACAGTTCTGTGTCTCATACTGTAGCATTTGTGTGTGGATAAAACACCTGTGGGGAAAATTCTGCCAGCATCTACTTCTAAACAAAGTTTATCAGAGCAAAATTTCTTAAAATGATTTTTCATGTGCTAACTTATAGGTGGCACAGAATGAGCTTGCTTCTAAAGGCTTTTTATCGATATGCGTGTTGAAGACTGTGATTTGCTCTCAGGGCTTGAAAATATCTTTAATAGCAACTTCTTATGTTTGTTTCCTCATACTGTCCTGAAAGGCTCCCCTGAGCTGCTGCTCATCTTGTTCTAGTGAAAAGTTCACTAGAGAAGGGACTGGGATTTTGCTCTATATGTTACTTTCCATAGTGAGGCTTTTCTGATCTGGGGCTGGTGCTTCTAGCTGTTACGGTGCAAGTAACCCAGGGGAACATTCTGATTCCATTTTAGCTTTAGTCATGACTATTCGCACTTTACTTTGCCAAGGAAAGCAAATCCTTAGGCTGATGACAGGATGCCTCACTCTCGCCTAAAAGATGCAAGCAGGGGCACACAAAGTGCATTGATGTCAACTGAATGTTTTTTAGTTTCCCCATAAGACCACTCTATTTTAGTCAGGATGGGATGCTCACAATGAATTACTTTCAAAGCATAACATGTATATCCACATGCTGCCTCTCACTGCATTCGCAATTTGCACTTATATTAGGTAGACATATTTTTACTATGATGTCAGAACATAAGCAATCAATGCTGGCATTTGACTGAACTTTTCAAGTGCTGTTATTTCTGTACAGCAGGTCTCGCTGGCCAAAAAAAAAAAAAAAAGGCCGCCATGCGTACTTCTAAAGTTAGCACATTCTGTTTTTCCAATTCTTAGTTTCCTATGTTCTGTTTAAAAATTTTGTGATTTGTTCTGAATGGAGGATAGTCAACGGGCAGTGAAAGGAGGCTAAAAAAACTCAAGCCAGAATGATGCTTTCATGATAGCAAGGTTAAAGGGAAAAGTTTTGGGGTTGGGGTTTTTTGGGTTTTTTTGAAGGAAGTGCTCAAATAAAATGTATATATACTCAAATTTAAGACAGGGAAGCCACCAATGGCAGGAATAAATCCGTTCTTAGCAAAGTAGGAGGGACTCAATCCCCTAACAGGTATTTCCCTTGCTCCTGGCAAGCAGCAAAAAGCCTCGACCGACACTACCCGGGGGGAGGAAGGGACTGAAGCGGGGGGGGTGGCTGACAGCTCCCGACCCACCGGTGGGGCAGAGCATCAGACACCAAACACCCGCTTTCGACCGCTCTGCTCTCCCACCCCAGCACTCCGCGCAACCCCCGCGCGGCGGTTTCTGCCGCCGACAGGCTTCCCTTGGGCTCCCCCCCCCCCCCTTTTTAAAGTTTTTTTTTAACTATTATTA